TTGCACAAGAACTTGGAAACCTTCTTCCACAGATATCTTCCTATATACATGTGCTCTTCAAATTGTTTTATAGTGTGGTAGATAGATCACGAAGAGCACCATACAACAGTATAATTTTATATTCTTTTGATTGACTTATAAAAATATCAAAGAGAAAAGAAATTACACTTCTATATATACACCACGTTTAGTATATCTATAGAGGGTTTGTTCCTCAAAAAATGACCTTTGTAGTTACTTATAATAGTAGAGAAATAGGTTTTATAAAAAAAATATTTTTCCAAATTTTTTTGCAAACACCTGTAGCTTTTTAATCATTGGAAATGAAAGAGCATCTAAAAAATACCTATAAATCCAAAATTTTAGCTTTCTCTGCAGAGAAAGCTAAAATTTTGGATTTATAGGTATTTTTTAGATGCTCTTTCATTTCCAATGATCGAAAAGCTATGTTAAAATTTTTTGTGCGGTATGATTTCTCGATTGAGTCATGGTTCGTCTCTTAAATATAAGTAAAATTAGTTTTACGCATTACAGATATCGTTTTCATAATTCTGAAAAACGGCCAGATCCAATAGAGTATTAATATTACTGGCTTGCGATGGAGACGGACTTCTGTTGTTAATTTGTGTAGACTGTAAGCTGTCACAAATATAAAATTAAAGTAGGATTTCTTTCTTTTATTTATATATAGTTAGATAGTGTTACAAGTGAATCAAGAATATATGTGTTTTTATTTTTTTGGAATAGGTGTTTAGAAGAATAATTTCAGTGTTTTCCGAAGATCTATTTTCTTTTTGCTGGAAAAAAGGTTAATTGTCGATAATCGACAAATTGTTTATTTTTTTGTTTCTTGCAAATTTCATAAGTGTATGTTTCAGTTTCAGCGTGAATAACTGAATCTAAAAAAGTGATTTATAAATCACTTTTTTAGATTCAATTATCCACACTGAAACTGAAACATACACTTTTAAAATATGCAAGAAACAAAAAATAACCTTTTTTTCAGCAAGACAAGTAGACCATTGGGAAAAAAAACTGAAATTATTCTTCTAAAAACCTATTCCAAAAAAATGAAAACACATATATTCTTGATTAACTTGTGACACTATCTAACTATATATAAATAAAAGAAAAAAAATTCTGCTTTAATTTTGCATTTTTGGTCGGTAACTTAGTGTCTTCCATAGAATATTTCGTTTGTGATTATCCTTACATGCACTTGAACAAGAATTCAGGTACGTGAATAAGAGTATTCAAAGATGAAACAAGAAGCTCAAGGATCTGGGCTCACCAAAAGGCTTCAAGTCTTGACCCAAGATATGTTCATATCACATGACTATCTTGCTCAAGATACTCAAGAACTCCATGAGCATGAAAAAAAGTTCGAATAGGATGATTATATTATTTTATACGAAGATCTGTGATTGTATCTTGGGTATAGATTTTTAAGATCTTCATAACAGATATTCAAGATCTTTTATCTAACATCTTGTGTTTTATGATCGTTTCTACTGATCTTGATTGCAGATAATAATATCTCAAATAAGCATAATCAAGATTTTTAAGACTTTGACCCAATATCTTCTTCTCTAATATTTTTATTTAATATGCAAAGACGCTTATCTGAACATTAACAAAACATGTAATCTTGATTAAAAAATATTTTAATAATAAAAACGTATTACAAAAACTTATTTAATTCACATATAAGTAATTTTTATAAATTCAAAAAATACACATAATTTACACACAGTAATTGAAAGGTGAAAGCATTCGGTTGAAAAAGATTAATACAAAACAATTAATTAATTAGTAACAATTTAGTTTAACTAGAAATAAAATTTATTCGATTGAAATAATCGACAAGAAGCGAATTGTAATTGTTGATAAATCATCTAAAAATTAGAATAGTAATCTAGCTTTAAAATCAAAATCTTTCTAGGCTATCCTGCAACTATTATTTTAGAGAAGGTGTGCGTGTGGGTTGAGTGTGAAAAGAAGAGATGCACGCTCACACCTTCACCAAAAATTCTATTTAAAAAAATTAAAACTTATAACGCTCCTATATTTTCAAAAGCCCATGTTCGAGAGTGAGTCTTTTTCTCAAAAAAAGATAACATTTATCAGAAACATACAGTAAACCAGTCGAAAAAAATTTAATCTTATTTTATACAGTTTGATCTATTTCTTTTTTCTTAGTTATTTGAATCTTGAATCTTATTGAATGGCATGTGCCTTCACTATTGCGAACCTCTTTTATATCTATTATATTGAAAAATCAACTAAGAATGTTTTCTACAAATAGATTACAAACAGTTTAAAAATTTTTAGTTATCTAAATAAATCAATGATGTCGTTATTATTTTAGTGAAAGTCTTGGGAAAAGATAGTCAGAATTGTTATACTTTTTTCTGATCTTGTTATTATAAGACTTTGGAACAGATCTTACCAAGATCTTTCTCACCGATCCCAAGATTTTTACATATTGCTTAAATGATGTTTCATTAGAGTGTCAATCGATTGAAACATCAATCAACAAAAAATCAAATTGATGAGTTTTCAAACGATTACTAGTAATTATTCCAGTTATAAACAGATTTTCATGAAAAATCGACTTGAATCTTGTCAATCGATTATAAAGGAGTTGGTAAATATCAGTAAAGTGTATACAGATGCAAATTATTCGGACGAATAGGAAGGATATGTATGAGTGAGTATTAGTGCCAAGTACGCGTGAGTGAAATAAGGAAGATCTTTATCCTCACTCACACCATGTCTGACTTGAAGCAGAGCCCATTCAACAGGAAGTTTTCAGAACCGAACCGGTTGGATGCGACTCTTGGAAGAACTCAGCAGAATCTAAGAAAGAATAATCTGTACATAAAGGGTGTTAGCTAAGTTCTGATTCCCTTCATGTAATATGCTTTTCCTATATATCTTTTCAGTAGAATAGGCTGATATTTGCAGCATATATACTAGACATCTAGATCTATTTTACACTAAAATCTCAGCTTTCTATCCCTTATGATTATGGAGATACAACATGACACAAGAATTAACGAAAATTTTTGATTTATACAGGATAGGTAGTTATCCGAAGAAAAAACTGAATATCTCCATTAGGACTCGAGCAAACGAGCTGATTTTTTTATCATTCATAGAAGCATGTTCAAGCTTTATCTCCATAAAGACATGCCTGGAGAGATTCTTTATTAAGTATCACTATTGATTTCAACAAGAAGAATTTTACTTTTTCACAGATAGGAAAGAAAAACAAAGTATTTGCCTAGGCATGTCTTTATGGATACAAAGCTTGAACATGCTTCTATGAATGATAAAAAAATCAGCTCATTTGCTCGAGTCCTAATGGAGATATTCAATTTTTTCTTCGGATAACTACCTATCCTGTATAAATCAAAAATTTTCATTAATTATTATGTCATATTGTATCTTCATAATTATGAGAGATAGAAAGCTGAGGTTTTAGTGTAAAATAGTTCTAGATGTCTAGTATATATGCTGCAAATATCAGCCTATTCTACTGA